GGACTTGGGGCTGGAGGCGGTGGCTCCCTCTACAGCGACGTCAGCACCGGCCTGACGTGGAGGTCGGGCACCGCCAGCTCTGTCTCCTACCCCAAGCAGATGCCCCTGTCTCAAGTGTGAGGAGGGGGAGAGAGGCCAAAGGTTAGGGAGTGAGGGACACCGGCCTGCCTAAAATGCCCCCTCACTGTTTGGTGCCATTAATGAACCCCTAATGGTCCTTATTAGCCACCGCTTGTATGGAACAATGCAGCTGGCAGAGGCCCCGGGCTCCGGCCCCCTCCTCCTTCCACGCCATTCATATGCGGGAGCGCGTCCTTCAAGGAGCCAGCTTATTATTTTGCTGGTAGAGGAGGGTAGGGGCTCACCCGTGTCTTGCAGAGCGCAGGGCACGGCGGGTCTTGGTTTGCCCTCGCATCAGCTCCTCACTCGTGGGAGGGAGGGTCTTCCCCCCCCACCACCCCCCCCATCCTGAGGTGGGAGTCTGCTGGAACTGCAGGTTTTTGGGATATTGATGACCGGGCAAATGCCTTACAACACAGACTGAATCAAAACATGTCTTAATTATACACCCCAGCTAAATACGGGTTTCCTACATTAAAGGATGTATTTATATAATTATTTGTTACCTTGTACAGATGTGTAAAATATGTATATATCCAAAGCTATACAGTCTGTAAATTTTTTTGTAAAAAAGTTTAGAGGCTACCCCTGTAAGAGCAAATATGAGTATTCTATTTTGTCAATAAAATGACTTTTGATAAATGACTTTTTCAAGCTTTTCCCCTACTCCTGCCCTGGTTATTCCAGCTGCCATGTCTTCAGGTGGTGCTATAAAGGACGAGCTACGTTCATGCTCCAGCCATTGCTGTATGATAGATGGCTGCCTCTGTTGAAGCGGTGAGAAACGTAGGCACAAGGAAAACAAGTCATTCAACTGAAGTTGCTCTGAAAAAAGTGTTTGCCAAAACCGGGAGGTGCCTCACCATAGTTCTCCCCTGCTTTTTGAAAGATGACAGCGTCTTTACACTGAGCCTTTACAAAGGAGTCATCTCGCATGGCATGTTAAGTGTCCTTTTAAAACGGGTGCTATTTTAGGAATGTGCACACACTGCCTATCTGTTGTCTAGGCTGCTGTAAGCACCTGCCTTTCCGCGGATGCGTGCTGAAGTGCCGGAGGTTAATGTTTTAAATTCATAGATCATGTACGACGGTGGGACAGTGAGTTGAGATTTGTTAGATCAATCTCTCCTTAACAGATTAAACTAACATCTTAACCTTTCATACTTAACTTTTGTATATCAAATATGGTCCTTTTTCAAGAGAAAAGGTATTGTTCTTCTGTCAGGACTAAGCTAATTTATTTGAGCAGAAGGCTGTTGAATTAGCAGAAGAATGCTTTAGCAATTGTTGAACTTTTTACCTGTCTGCCCAGTGGCTCAGAACATCATTCCTTTAAGAAGGGCTAAATGAATAGGGTTAATCTGTAGGGAACTTGGTTTCTTTTGAGTTTGTGAAAACTTTGATCTTTTCTCTTCCCCGAACGTGATGTATAGTCTGAAGTTTCTTTCCCTGCTGCCTGGTTCCTCTTGTTGCAGACCAATTGGCCACCATGGAGCCTTAAAGTTCTTCAATTAAAGGGACTTGGGACTTTTTTTTTTTTATTTTATTTTAAGAGGAAGACTTGTAACAGTTAGTGAACACCAGAGGGAAGAGGGAGAACAGCCTTTTAAACAGCTTTTCCCTGCATTGTTAGCCAGACTGCAGGCAGCAAGGCATGGCTTGGAGCATTATAGAAAAGAGCTATGAATGCCCTACAGGTGGTCTTCTCACATAATCTCCCCAATTTAAAACATTTTCCTTTACAGGACAATTGCATTACAAAACTCCCTTCTCTTTTGCTCCTAATTGAACCAAAGAACAACTACAAGATTTTCTTTAAAAACTTAAGTGTCTGAAAAAAAATTGAAAATCTATTAATGACATTCTAATCTGTTTTCTAAAACGGGACCCCTTGGAATACCATGAGTAAAAGCTGCACTACATGTTATTCCAGATATTTTTATGCCTTCTGCTTATATTCTACCAAATTAGCAATCATTTAAAAGCAATTGGTTAGGTTGTGTGCTAGCAGTGAAAAGATAGCCCCAGGTCCCTTATTAACCTGTCAATCATGGTAAGAGATGGGCAGCTACCCTACTAATGACACAGATATCAATCACGATTTGTGGGAAAAACCTTGTTCCATTGAGCGCTGACTTGATTATTGGTGTCCCTTTCAAAGAACCCATAATTTAATAGACTCCTCCACGTCTACAAAGTTACTGGGATCATGAAAAGGAGGAATTGAAAATGCCAATCTCTAACTCCTTGGAGGGAAAAATGATTTTAACTTCTCAAATGCAAAGGATGTTCCACTGGGATTTATGCACAGGGGCTATTTACACACCAATTGACCACAGTCAGAATATTGACACACCTGTATACTGTATACCAGTATTTTCCTGTATTGCCGGAAACACTTCTTGACAGTTGTTGAAACATTTAAATCAACGTGGCAATTTTCCCTGCTGTCAGTGGGGCTGAGGTGGAGGTCTTCTGAAGCCCGGTGTATGGAAGCGCAATCGCTTCCTCAGATCAAAATCTGCGGTCCTTCCCTTCCAGTGGTTTCTAGCAAGGGAGACCGAGGGGAGGTACAGCCACAACTGCTCTGTGAGCGGTTGTTTAGGTAGGTCTCTCAAAGACTGCTGGAACAGGTTGCTAGTGCTGCCGTAAAAGCATTTCTAGTATACAATAGGAAGTAGCTCTGTGGCTTAACCTGCCCTGGAATGAGCCAAGAGCTGCTGCAGGTGGACTTAGGCAGGAAAGCACTCTTCGAGCTAGTTAGGTTAACAAGATGCCCACTTTGGCATTTGGAAGTGACTGAGTCTCATTTTTATTCATTTGCATTATTGCAAAGGTTAAACGAATAAAAATGAGACAAAATTCAAACTGCTAGAAACACAGATCTGAGCAAACAGTGCTGGGGAAGTTAATGTACAAGTGCAGATTTTTGTGAATCAACATAAAATTTGTGTCTAGGGAAATAAAAAAAAAAACCAACAGCAAGGCATTGAGGCATACAAGAAATAAAAATCCACAGTTACACAGAACTTCAAATTATTATGATACCCTTTATCAGAATTTAAAGATAAATTTGCTAGGAAGATGCAAAATATATCGGTGAGGTGGCAGGAGTTACATGTTACCTTTCAAGGTCAGATGATAAACTGCCTTCTCCCTAACTCTGCCAGAGAGCTACCAAAACCAGACCCACCTGCCTCGTGGCCCGGGCCTGCGACCGAGGAGCAGGAGTGCCCTCGGTGTCCATGCCGGCATGGGCTCACCCATGGGCAGGGGCAGAACCCACGCTCCCCGGCACCCACCCCGGCTCGGGAGAGCTAAGGGAACACTTTATTACCACTGCCGGGGCTCCACAGGACAGCTTGTGTGGCAACTTTTGGAGAGAGGGCAACCAAGATCCTGCTACAGCTCACAGAAAGGTCTAACCGCCTGCTCTGCTCGGGAGGGTGACTAAGCTAGCAGAGAAACATAGTTGGGGATTTTCATCTTTTTTTCTTTCTTCTCTAGTAAGCAGCATACCTTTAGTGTGTTCCTTCTTTTTCCAGGACCGCTCCCTGCTTTACGTGTCCCAGCTTCAAAAGGAAATCTTGTGGCTTGTTCTCCTCGTGCTGTAAGGAGGGAACAATCCTGTAGCCTCCCCGAAGGTGCTGGCCCAGCTGCCAGTGGGTCTTTCAACCAGAGTCAGAGCAGTCCAGGAGTGCCGCAGAGCCTGGGGAGGGACAGCCCACCCCCCCTGGACCCTGCTGCTGAGCCCCTGGGAGCTGCCTAGAGGTGTCCTGAAACCTGCTTCCCTGGAGAAGCTTCCCTGGAGCTTTGATAATCAGTCATGGCAGGGAAGGGACTTCAGGCAGGGAGGAATTGGGACATTCTTATATACTGAAATAAAATGAATGTGGCCATGCTTTCTGAGAAGGCTATGAAGGCTGAGACTGGCACACAAGGAGTCTTTTTTTGTTCTTTCTTACAGAATATCTAAAGTGTTGGGTTGCTCACCCATTAAAGAGTTCTTCAAATGTGCTTGACTAGTCCTAAAAAGTCTCCCAGGTGGCGTAGGAAATCTGGAGGCAGGGGGGCCTCTGGGCACATGCTATGCACAGCATGCTTCACTCCAGCTTCAGAGCCCAGGTTTCTTCCAGATTCACTCGGTCAGACACCTTGCTAGACACCTGAAGGTGACTTGCAGGAAAAATCAACAGTTTTTCACAAGAGGAAACAAGTACTGGGACCCAAAGCAGCATGTCCAAATTTAAAAAGGAATCAATAGTTGAGAAAGAAATATCAGAGTCCTTGGGAGAAACCCAGGTCCACTTTGAAGTACAAAAGCTTCAATACAAATAAGATACTACGGTTTGATCCCTGTGACTGTGCTCAACGTACTTCTTTCACAAGCACTACATGCAGTGCAAGAGCCGAACCTAGCCTGCCCAGTAAGTTAGCCTTCCAACAGTAAAGACATGGAATTTTATACAGGATAGCCAGGCCACCTAATGTGGGAGAAAAGCAAACTGGTGATAATGGATGTTGAAAAAAGCCAAAAGATGCTCCTCAGTGTGGGCCAGTCAAACCAGCTTGTAGCATCACAACCAGTTTCCAAATTGCCTGTTACAACCTGCCCGTAGCATGCCCTGCTCCTGCACCCTGTTTGAGGAGCCACGCGGCCTGTGTTTCTCTGGGCACTTGCTTCTTCCACTCCCACCCACTGTGGCCTGACCAGCTTCTGGCCCAACGGGGAAGCAAGGGAAGAACAATCTCTCTTCCATTGCTCCCGCTGGCTGTGTTCCCTCTCTTTTTGCCCTGCATACCAAAACTAGATGATACTGGGAAGATAGCACACCTCTTCCTAGAATTAAAGAGGCTGCACAACAAAGGTCACCCTGAAAGCAATAGGATGAGCCTAAGAAGAATAAGGAAAGTGATTTACAGATGACGGTCCAAAGAAGAGACACTAAACAAAGTGGACTCCCTGCACGTAGTCATGATGAGTTCTGGGCAGCCTTTAGGAGAACTCAATTAGAAATGTTCAGACAGCTCTACTTAAGCTTTTGTAAATGCCCATCATTACTGTAATCAGGTGTATGAATTTCACTAGTTCAGCAGAAAGGATAACACATCATAAATGCTATGGTGGTACGGAAATAACTAGTGTCTGGTATTAAAATGTGGAGCCGTAATCTGAGGTGACTAAGGATAGTCAGGTCACTTCAGAAACTGGTACCTAAGGTCAAACGCTGAACCAAGCTTTTTGAAGGCTGAGACAATACTTTTTCACTCCTACAGGTCTCTTATCTATGATCTCAAAACACTTTACATTCACTAGTGATTAACAGTCAAATTTCTTCTTGGGAGACAAGAACTGCAGTAACACCCAGGCTAACGAAACTTCAGTGCAAGTCTCAGGGGAGAACCCGGATTTCCTGGCTCGTGCGTGCTTTCCAGAACGCTCCATTCTACAAGCCTGCCCTAGCACCTCTGCCCTCCCCACCAGCTCCCCCCAGGAACCCTCCCCAGGCGGCCACCGCCCGCACGCCTGGAGCGCCCGCAGTCTCCCAGGCACCGCACCACATCCCTCAGCCGATTTCAGCGGAGCCGGCACTCGCCAGCACCAGTCCCGCTGCTGCCTGTGCCAGCCAGGCAG